GTATATACAAACATGATTGCATGCTGTTTGTTTACTTTGTCTTTTTTTCAATATGAGTCATGATATATAAATGGTGTGCATATCAGTTTAAATTATTTTTGTTGAATTCAGTTAACAGAAAAAATTAATAACTGAATATGATTATGTAGATAGATACCTTCCAGAAATATTTACATGTACCAGTAGCTGCAGATATGTAGCTTATGTGAAATCAGGTATACTTGAAACTCAATTTACCTGTATTTATTAAACAGAAATTTAGTGAATACATTCATATACCTATGCTGTATTTCATACTGAAAATCCACTGTGTTAATGTTTTACTTATTCAAAGTAAAAACTGACCAGAAGTGATCTTAATGAAATAAATTTATCTCACAATATTTTTTTCTCCCCCCCCCCCAATTTTATCACAATTTAAATGTATATAAATTGATAAAAGAAACTGACTATACCATTTAAGAAAATCTTGAGTTGTCTTTCCTTGTTTAAAGAAAATATCTGATGCAATGAATGCTCCCTTGGGTTCATGACCCTGAATATTAATAAGGTTGGGAGGTGTGAAAAAGTCAAATATATGCTCGGATTAAAAAAGCAGTTTAACATTTATATATTTTAATGAAAAGTGCAAGCGCTAAAATTTATTTGCGCCAATGCATTCCCAGTTGCGTTTTCGCTAAAATATGTATGCTCCAAATTTTCTCGTTTTACAGTAGATAAATAGATAACTGTTGCATTTGATGTTTTCACTTATTCAGGAATTCTGATCAGATTTTTTTTAAAAAATCATCTTTTCAGTAATATAAGTCTGTTAAATCCTTTGTCATCAAATAAGAATAATATGTTAACGGCACGGCTGTTATGGCGAGAACAGATATTTATTTTCTAATACATTTTAGACCGGGGCTCGGCAAATCTGCACATGACATTTGGTGCGTCTAGACTCTGACGTCACATGACGTCATATGTAAGTTACATACTAGTATTTCCAAAAAGAAGCCTGAACAGTGATGAAAGTAAATGAAGAACATTTCGTTTACTATTTAACTTCAATACTTATACATTAAATCATGGCATGTTCACTTTTAGTTGAACTTTTGCTGCTATCCTCGTTAGATTGTAGCTTTAAAAAGTGATTCATTGTGGGTCCAAATTATTGCGTCAAAAAATTCTATCGAATGAATGTGCAGTAGTCCGAATTTTCTCTTTGCACAGGAGTTGCTGTAAGAGCTCGCAGTGACGAGCGTCGCTTTGCTCGCTATCACAATTAAAATTAAATATTTTATTTCATTTGGTTACAATAGCAACCCAATTTATGGACTTGGTCAATAACACACTGTTTCATATGATATCTGACATATGCCTCTATAATGGAGTTATGAAAGTACTAAACACAGGGTCTTTTGTTTTGCTCAAAGCATAATTTATTATGCAGGCAGTACCATCAAAATGAACTTAGTCAAATGTCGAACAATATATGTAGAGAGACAATTTCTTTTTTCTTTCTTCAATTTTCAAATTGGTAATTTTTTTAAGGGCTACAGTTTTAATTTGGGACTCTTGTACTAGGAATATCATATCTTTAGCAGAATTGTGCCACTGAATTAAAAGGGAACACTTTTTTTTTCTAGGTGCACATGATGCAAAGTCTAGGATGGTGTGTAGGCTGTTTGTCAACATCTGAAACCCACATGTATTTCAGGGTAGGTACACTGTATCTTTACTCCTAAATTTCTTTCTTAAAAGGTACATAAGGCATATTTTGTCTGATTTTAAAGTTTTGTCTCAGCATTTATTTTTTTAAATTATTTTTTATTTCATGAAGTATCTGCTGAGAGTCTAGTTAATTGATTAATCAAAGCTACATAGTAACACATACTAGTGAAATATCTCCTTGTGTGAGACCAAAAGATATACAAATTGACAAAACATGGACCTGTCAAGTGATATCATTGTATTTATTTTATTTCATATCATCCTAATTAAGGAATTGATTCCAATTGACCTAAACAATTGGAATATTAGTATGGGAAGATATAATTTTATAATAAAATTTCTTTGTAGGAAATTCTTGTCAGGACCCAAGACTGAAAAAAGACTGAAAAACTGCCTTTTAACATAGACATCATTCATGCCAATGGATAAACTAGAAACATCCAAACAATATTACATCAGAATCATAAGAGACTGTCAATTGTTATCCCTCACTGTGGCAGAAACACCTAAATAAACATTGAAATGATAAATTTCTTTGTTTATTGTTTTTCTATTGATCTATGAATAATCGCAAAATATTTATGGGAATTTCGCACGATTTATACATGAAAAATTGATAAATTAAAATTCGCATGTATATCATATATAACATGGTCACATGAAAATCGCATGAATTTCGCATAAATATTATATGAGGACATTCGCATGAAATTTGCATGTGTGATTTTTCGCACGATTTTTGTATGATTTTCGCATGAAATTCATGCGAAAAGCAAATCGCATGAAAATCATGCGAGCCACTTTTCTCTGTGTAGACTAGCAAACAAGAATGAACGTACGTTGCTGAGATCGCTAGTCATATATTATTTCATATATTGTTTGTTTCCCCTGTATACACGAAACTTGTTACAAAAAATGACTTTCAACATTTCCTTATCTTAAAATTCACATTCATTCGATAGAATTTTTTGACGCAATAATTTGGACCCACAATGAATCACTTTTTAAAGCTACAATCTAACGAGGATAGCAGCAAAAGTTCAACTAAAAGTGAACATGCCATGATTTAATGTATAAGTATTGAAGTTAAATAGTAAACGAAATGTTCTTCATTTACTATTTAACTTCAATACTTATACATTAAATCATGGCATGTTAACTTTTAGTTGAACTTTTGCTGCTATCCTCGTTAGATTGTAGCTTTAAAAAGTGATTCATTGTGGGTCCAAATTATTGCGTCAAAAAATTCTATCGAATGAATGTGCAGTAGTCCGAATTTTCTCTTTGCACAGGAGTTGCTGTAACAGCTCGCAGTGACGAGCGTCGCTTTGTTCGCCATCACAATTAAAATTAAATATTTTATTTCATTTGTTTACAATATCAACCCAATCTATGGACTAGGTCAATAACACACTGTTTCATATGATATCTGACACATGCCTCTTTAATGAAGTTATGAAAGTACTAAACACAGGGTGTTTTGTTTTGCTCAAAGCATAATTTATTATACATGCAGTACCATCAAATGAACATAGTCAAATGTCGAACAATATAGTATGTAGAGAGACAATTTCTTTTTTTTTTTTTATTTTCAAATTGGTAATTTTTTTTTAGGGCTACAGTTTTAATTTGGGACTCCTGTACTAGGAATGTCATATCTTAGCAGAATTGTGCCACTGAATTAAAAGGGAACTCTTTTTTTTAGGTGCACATGATGCAAAGTCCTGGATGGTATGTAGGCTGTTTTCAAACATCTGAAACCCACATGTATTTCAGGGTAGGTATGTTTACTCCTAATTCTCTTTCTTAAAAGGTGCATAAGGCATATTTTGTCTGATTTTAAAGTTTTGTCCCAGCATTTATTGTTTTAAATTATTTTTTATTTCATGAGTTATCTGCTGAGAGTCTAGTTAATTGATTAATCAAAGCTATGTAGTAACACATACTAGTGAAATTATCTCCTTGTGTGAGACCAAAAGATATACGAATTGACAAAACATGGACCTTTCAAGTGATATCATTGTATTTATTTTATTTCATGTCATCCTAATTTAGGAATTGGTTCCAATTAACCTAAACAATTGGAATATTAGTATGGGAAGATATAATTTTATGATATAATTTCTTTGTAGGAAATGCTTGTCAGGACCCAAGACTGAAAAAAAGACTGAAAATCTGCCTTTAAACACAGACATTATTCATATCAATGGATAAACTAGAAACATCCAAACAATATTACATCAGAATCATAAGAGACTGTCAATTGTTATCCCTCACTGTGGCAGAAACACCTAAATAAACATTGAAATGATAAATTTCTTTGTTTATTGTTTTTCTATTGATCTATGAATAATCGCAAAATATTTATGGGAATTTCGCACGATTTATACATGAAAAATTGATAAATTAAAATTCGCATGTATATCATATATAACATGGTCACATGAAAATCGCATGAATTTCGCATAAATATTATATGAGGACATTCGCATGAAATTTGCATGTGTGATTTTTCGCACGATTTTTGTATGATTTTCGCATGAAATTCATGCGAAAAGCAAATCGCATGAAAATCATGCGAGCCACTTTTCTCTGTGTAGACTAGCAAACAAGAATGAACGTACGTTGCTGAGATCGCTAGTCATATATTATTTCATATATTGTTTGTTTCCCCTGTATACACGAAACTTGTTACAAAAAATGACTTTCAACATTTCCTTATCTTAAAATTGTACTAAATATTTCTTCACCTTAGAAGTGTGTAGCGACATTTCTAAGCATGTCCGATTTCGTTGCCTTATACTCGCTGCAATTTTGAAAATGATCTAAATATATTGTAAACCAACAATTATTCGTGTCATCTTTTATTCGCGATTCGTCCTTTTGAAATCAATCCGCGACGATTAATATTCGGGACAGAAGAAACATTCTTCACAAATACTAAGCAAAATTATTGGTTTGCGGCGATTAATATTCACGAGTTTAAGTCGATCTCGAAGCTCGCGAATATTTCTCGCACACAAATAAAAGTTGGTTAACAGTAATTAAAATAAACGACGTACACTGAACACAATCATTGAAGCCATCCAAGCAATATTTAAGGAATACAACAGGTAAGAAAAATTGTGTATCAGCAGATTGGTTACTAATTACTGTATAAACACAGCCACAGGCAATAACTGGCGATTTACGGGTGTTGATGACGACCCGCTAATAACCGTATGTGAATTCTGTTCACATGTGAAGTGTATTCTGAAATAAGAAATAATATACATCCGAGTAACCGAGTACCATGTTTAGTATTCGATACTCGGACGTTCGATCAAGTACCCGGTTAACCGGGTACTCGTTGACATCCCCAGTTTTAAGACATGATCTTTATGGAAAAGGTTGTTTTTAGGATTGTGATTTTCCTACTCTCCAATAGTTTAAATTTCAATTGCATATTTACTTCTTTAGTCAGTAAAATATAAGAAATATTATAAGAAATGACAAACTCTCTATGATGGATTTTATGTTCATTATCTAAATATATTTCAATTAAGAAGTACTGAGATTGAGTAGACATATGAATGCATAAGGCCTGGGACCAACTACACTCGCCTGATTCATTTAGACATGGTGCATGAAACGTATGGAACAGTATTCAAGATCAAAAGTCCATGAAACATTACAAAATAAGGCACAGCAAACAGGGACCTCCAAAACATCAGAGGTGGGATCAGGTGTCATGGAGGTGTGAGCATTGCCTGCCGACCGGTCACATCCGCTGTGTGCTCCTTGTCATGATCGGAAAAATAACGAAAAGTCTGTCCTCATTTCAGTGTAAAAATAATTTATCTATTTTTTTTATTATTATTCTTATTTAAAATTAATAAAAAAAAAATTCTTATTTCATATGATGGACCAAATTCTAGCTGTAAAGAACTATATGATTTAATCAATTTTGATATTTAAAAAATATTTGGGATTTTTTAATGTCAAATACAATCCACATGCATGGCCTTCATGCCATAATGTTTCTTTAACAAACATTCACATTTACTTACAGTTTTCATCCTGGATAAAATATCAAAACACAAGATTTGTGTGAATTGTCATTTATTGAAATCGACGCTGTATATTAATTATACATTAAATGGGGAGACCCAAAAACCTTAAAGTAATATTTTTTTACATAACAAAGTAAAGTTTTATAATGATCTCCCCTGTTACATGTAAAAACAATGTATGAAAAAACAGCTCAGATTGTAAAACATATATACGTTATTAGCAAAAAGTTTGCGTTCAAAAATAAAACAGAAGATCATAAAAAGCAAAAAAAGGTTGCAAAAACGCCAACTATGCAGATTATTCATTTTGCAGGGGTCACAAATTTACCTAGAATTCAATTAATCTATTTATTTCTGCCCCCCCCCCCCACTTTTCAAAATAACAAGCCATATAAGCATTTATCGAATCTAGATCTAAGACTCCGGTTTGAATGTTAAGGGCCTTGTCCAAGTATGTATTCGAATACCTTACATGTACACCAAAAGTCAATGTTAGTAAAATACGTAACAAAATGCAACAGTTTCTCTTTAACGTTTTCAACTCACAAATCGTCACCCTCACAGAAACCAGTCGGCTGCCTCAATTACCATATAAATACAAACAACTTCGATTTAAAGGTATAAATATACAGTGAAATATGAAATAGTTTATTCGTAATTTGATACATTTAGCAATTATTATTACCAAAATATGATGAGGTTGTGCATGGGATAAGCAAGTTGTTGTGAAAGTAATATAAAAAAAAAAAGAAAACAGCCTTGCGATAAGAATCTACATAAAGAGTGACCGGCACTTGTCGCATTAGATGACATGCAATCATTATCTTATTCACATGGGCTTTGATTTTGGGAATTTCAATCTTAATCAATAATATTTGATTATAGCGATTTATACATCTAGTAAGTAAAAAGATAATTTATTGTAACTTTTGATTGAAGGATGCTTTAAATTTCAAGTAATTAAAATCACGGGGAAATTAAAATCCTAAAAGCTACAAATAATACAAATATTAAAGTAACTGTACGCCACCGTTGTAATGCGAGGCATGCATTAAAAAAATTACATCTCACGCGCAATGTGTTGAAATATTAAGAGTCTTCTTGTTATCAAGGGCAATCATCACAAAAGCGGTCGTCGATCCGATTTTACCAATTATTATCATTTCATCTCTATGTTATAAATTAACGTTAACATAAATGCTCGAAATGAGAGATTTAGGTTAAAATGCATGAAGATAACGAACAGTTTTTAACAATACTTTACAAATCAGAAGTACAGCACACATGGTCACCAAAAACATCCGATGTACGCGAGAAATTAGATACCATGGAAAAAGCGATTTTCCTGTCTGTTTTCAAAGCTTAAGATTTTCATGTCAGCAAAGTTCAATATTTTTGCTTCATAAAGATCTTAAGCATTTAAAATCAATGTGTACAGCTACTTAAAACTGTACAGA